AAGCTTTGAATTTTTTCTCAAGCCAGATTTTCAGAGTTTACCTGTAAAACATAATTATCAATTTTAATTGACATTTCTCATGGATGATACGATGTTGACAGGTGCCCTTCACAGAGAAGAGTCTGAAGTCTGATGATGTGTTTGTGTTGGACAAGGGACTGGAAATCATCCAGTGGAACGGAGCAGGGGCCAATGGCATGGAGAAAATCAAGGTCCGATTTGTTCAATCATGCAGTGCCCTTCTTAATTTTTGTTACATTTTGCTCAATTATCTTTGATTCAAAAGAAACAACACATGTGGTTTCCATCAAATTAAAAAATTAAAACAAGTAAAATGAAAGGCAACCAATTAAAGTAAAACACACACACCAAACTATTAATTCTTTTATAAAAATGAGATGCTGAGAAACTGTAGAGATCAAATACTCTTTCACAACATTTCTGCTGCTATTTTTATAATCTCCAAATTCAATCTTTTAGGCTCAACAATTCTGTCAGCAGTTGGAGGCTGAGAGATCAGGGGCAAGTAACTCTGTAGTGGAGGAGGGATCTCGTGCTCCTGCATTCTACGACGGTCTTCCTGATGAAGATGTGGAGATGGATGAGGAAGACGAGGGAGTCGAGACAGGGGACAAGACTCTAATGAAGTAAGGGCCACCTTAAGGGATATCATAAAGTGTCAGAATTTGTTACAGGGGACAAGACTCTGATGAAATAAGGGGCTCCTTAAAGGATAAATGTCTATCAGAATTTGTTACAAGGGACAAGACTGTGAAGAAGTAAAGGGCACCTTAAGGATGAAGTAAGGGGCACCTTAAGGGATATAAAATGTCTGTCAGAATTTGTCACAGGGGACAAAACTTTGATGAAGTAAGGGGCACCTTAAAGGGTAAAATGTTTGTCAAAATAAGTCACAAGGGAAAAGATTCTGATGAAGTAAGGGGCCACCTTAAGGGATAAAATGTCTATCAGAATTTGTCACAGAGGACAAGACTCTGATGAAGTAAGGGGCACCCTAAGGGATAAAATGTAAGAAATTGTAACAGGAGACATGACTCTGCATGAAGTAAGGACCACCTTAAGGGATAAAATGTCTGTCAAATACTTTGTCACAAAGGACATGACTCTGATGAAGTAAGAGGCACCTTGAGGGATAAAATATCTGTCAGAATTTGTCTCAGGGGACAAGACACTGATGAAGTGAGGGGGTAAATATATTGGGCTACCTTTCAGGGACAAATTTCAAAAGAAAGAATTTCAGGAGACAAGAATTTGATTGATGATGTATTACATTTAAGGGATTATCATAAAGATGTAACAGTGTGTGAAAAAATTATATTTATGAAATGTAAAGACAGTGTAAACGAAATTTAAGATTGTAATGTATATCACTGAATGTTTTGTTTCAAGATAAATACTAAAAGTTGATTTTGTTCTATAGAGTCTCGGATGCTGGTGGACAGATAGAAATGACTGAAGTTAAGAAGGGAACAGTTACCAGGGACGATCTGACTTCAGATGTGAGTATCATAAAATACAAACTCAAATTTTCAAGAGAATAACATTATCATTCACTTCATATGAATTTCTAAGAGAGTTTTGTTGTTTAAAAATCTCAACATAATGTAACTTGCAATATTTTTAGAATATTCCTTCATATGTCTCTGACATTACAAATTATTGTAATTTTGTCTGATTTTTTAAACTACAGTGGTGTGGTAAGTTATTTCAGCTTTGTTGACCTGACTGTTTTCTTCCTTTAGGACGTATTCCTGGTGGACAATGGTCTACAGGTGTTTGTTTACGTTGGTGCTAATGCTTCTGTAGCAGAAAAGAGGAATGGATTCCCCTATGCTCATGTAAGTCAATGAGAGTTTATATAGATGATTGATCATCCACAATACATATCCTGAGAGCTTAGATGATTGGCTATCCATCTAGTACAGGAAGAAAATAATCATATTATTTCCTATCTAGCTTGTAACATGAGTTTTGATTGGTTAGCAAGTTGGATGTAAATGTTGAGGTGTAGGTAAATAACATGACGTCACAAAGTAAAGTTTCTTTTAAAAATATCAAAAAGCAATTCACATGATGTCACGATGTATTTTTTAAGTATGTAATAGTTTGAAATACCACTGATTAGCCTTCGGTTTACCAAGAAAGTTTTTGATTTAATAGGAAATACTGTAAAAGCACAAATATTCGTGGGATTAAATTTCGTTTATTTCGGTTGTTAACAATTATCAACGAAATCAAATCCCACACGAAACTTTATATATGATTATTTATTAAATAGGGTTACTTTCAAAACAACGAAATTAATGCCCACGAAACTATTTCTGATGACAAATCAATGAAAGTTTATCCCGATGAAAAGAACTATATGCGGTATTAACCAACATTTGCCCCCCAAAATCAAACTTTGATAGAGTAATATTTAATTAAGTCCTTAAACAGGGGAGTATATGCTGACTTCAAAGCACTGAATAATTTCATAAGTAATGACGTCATATGTACGTAATGACGTCACAAATATGACGTAAATTTCAGTTTTTTATGAATTTTGCAGAAAAATGTACATATTTCGTCGATATTTTAAATAAAAGTCACCGAGCGCATGTGTGTTCAGGATAAATATTTTGATATAATGTGTAGAATGATAATATCAATGAAATATGTCAATATTGTTCCTGAACACACATGCGCTCTATAAATTTTAAAGCTTAAATTGTTGAAATTTTGTCCATTTTGTCCTCTTTCTGAAAAAGGATATAAAATCGGACTAGTTTGTGACGTCATAAAAACAGAAATTGTGAATACACTGCTCTGGAACTATAATATTTTCTGTTAACTTATATTTCTCGTACAATTTATTGAATTCAGCACATTTCAGGAAGTTTTCAAAATTTGACTTTTGTGGGGGCAAACATATGCAATATACCGCATATAGTTCTTTGTGCTTCTACAGTAAATGTGTTATCCAGGTCTAATCAAGGGTGTACAGGGATTTACCCTGGGTTATATTCCATACACCCTCAGGTTGTTTTAAATAAAACCTGGGGTAAATTAATATTGTTCCCTTTACTTTCATTGAATTCAGCTGATATGACATGAAATCTTATAATGACTGTCGCTTTGTTTAGAAATACATCAAGGATAACGACAAGAAGCCGTACATGCAGGTGACAGTTGTTAAGGAGGGACAACAGTCGGAGCTGGACAACGTTCTTGCCTAAATTTGGACATTAGCTCCGCCCACCTAGTCACATGACTGCCCGTAACAGTGTCCCATAGACTGTAGACATTGCAACTGTCAGGAGCATCGCATTGTGCTGCATCACCTTGTTTTGGTGTTAAAATGTTAAGATTGGCAAAATTAAAAAGATATATACCCTGTATTTCAATAATTTTTTTTCCTTTAAAAAAAAAATATAAATAAGATTTTTTCCCGACATGTTTTTATTTTATATCAGAAATATATTTTTCTTCACAAGTGCTTTGTAGAAGGCTATATTTACATGACGTACTGCCTGGAGGGCTTTCAAGCAGAAATATCCTCTGTGACTTTGTTTTGGTATTTAGTGTAGCATTTGCTGTTATTTCATTTTATTCTTTGCTGGGCATTTACATCACTGGTGGTGCATTTGATTCTGTTGTCCTCTATATATCATAATCAATGTTGTGATTATACTGTATATCCTTATTTCATATGAACAAATAATGGTAATATTGCTTAGATGCTTGAATCAAAGATTGCAAATATTTTATTAGAAATAATTTTTTTTTTTCTCCTCATTTTTTATGGTATTTTCAAACAACTTGTAAACAGGTTTATACATTGCTCATGATTTTTTTTTCTTTTTAACTTTATTAATTTGCCATGTTGAAGATGATTTTTCATTTTTTATAAAAGTGAAGTTATTCTATGTTATTTTGCACATTTTTTAAGAAAAGTATTTATGTACACATTTAATGTTTTTTTTATATGCTGCAATAGAGATGAAAGTCACATGTCAGTCATGTGATTTGTCTCCTTAACAACCACTCCTGCTTCCTATAGGTATCTTAATTACATATCTAAAAATAAATTATTTCACACTGTGGTATTATTGATTTTTGTTTGTATCAGATCAGAAACTAAGGATAAACATTTTGGAAGTCTCTTCTATGTGTGTAGTCTTAATGAGGCATGGATTGACAAGTGCTTGCCTAGAGAATATGGTACATGTTAATCTGGATGGCTCGAATTACAGTCTCTTGATCAGCTATTGATGTTCTCAATTTCCCAAAGTGAACCTCTGGTCTGTTTTTTTGCTATAACTAAGCAAATCTACTTCTCTCTTGAAGTTCTATATCTCTCGATCCAAGACGTGAGTCCCGTTATACACATCTCATTATCTCTCCAACTCCCAAGATTTGATTGCGCATGTGTACACACCAGTCAAGCGTAAAATTAATGCTGCTTACACCTACCCATCATCGCAAACCACGGCCAAAATGTACGATCCTCTCCCTCCCAGTATGTGGACTTCGGACCGTGGCTTGAGAGATGAGACTTACCTGAATAATTGCGAAGTTATTCACTTCTTTTGGTCCTTTGAACTGGAGATGAGTCTCCTGTAATTTCACAGTTTAACTAACATCTACCTAAATGGAAAATGTGTGTAAATTTCTCAGGCATTGACATATTGAAATTCTGTACCTGTATTTCTAAAGCAAATTTTTGTTCCCTCAAGAATTTTTCATTCATATTGAGACCCGCCACCACTTGCTGGTAGAGTTGTGAAGTTCCAACCTTTAAAGTTGGTCGCTGGTGCACTTTTGATTATGGCGTCAGTCACGTCACAAAGGCCCTTGCGGTCTTAAAGCAATTAGGGAACATTTTTCATGCCAACACCTACTGTGAATTGGGACCTGACGATTTATACGGTCCGAAGGACCGTTCCCCACCGTCCCTCAGTGTGATCCGAACCTGCAATGCAACTACTTACTCCGCGACTTCTGAGCAAACTCTCAAACAATTGCGCCCAGTGAGTGTCGGACTGTCAAAATTATAATGTGTCTGTTCAGAAAAACAATTCAGTAACCAAATGGACCTAGTGTTTGAGTGTGTTAAATCTCAACAAATGAGCCATGTATGCCCTTGATGAGTTTATACTGTTAAAGTAAAGGAAATAATAGTTTGGTGGACGGGAGCTTCATATATATTAGTAATTGTCAACTGCATTTCTAGAAGTTCACCGGAAATTAAAGCTGAACACAATTCGTAAAAAGAATGTGTCCGCCATTTTTGATCGGACTCTCGGTATATCTGAGGAACCTTATATAAAGGGCCTGATTTAGTCACTATTCAGTATAATCCATCGACACGTGCACCGATGTAGACGGACCAAAGCTAAGCTACCAAAGAAACTTGCAATAGTCGTGTAGTATACAAACAAACACAGATTCATATAACTGCAATAAAATGTATACAGAAATAGATAACCCAAAACATTATGTACTACTAAACGCGTGATAAAATTAAAGGAAATGTGTTTAGATGATTTGGCATCCCTTGCACGTGTAAGATGTAGAATATAAAGACACGTTTATATAATTACTGTATATATCTTACATGGAAAAGCCCAGATTCGAATCAAGTCAAACATAGAGAAAATGTAATCTTCTTTACAAGCATGCGTGATACAATAAGGAACATGATGTGTTTGTGAAACACTATGCGCCTGGCGGCAACAAAGTTCGAAAAAGCTATAAAAGCTATTTTTAGCATAAAGCTCATGGTCAAGGTCACAAGGTCATTGACCTTGGTGTTATTTGAAAGACCTTAATTTAGAGTATGCTTACTAAATATTCAGTCTCTATCTCTTTTGCTTCAAAAATAATGGCGAAGGTTCAAAAAGGCTATTTTTAGCATAAAATAGGTTACAGTCAAGGTCACAGTCATTGACCTTGGTGCCATTTGAAAGAACTTAATCAGTGATATATTCACTAATCAATCATGTTAAACACATTCCCTTCTTCTTTCCGTCAATATCTTGTTGAAAGCATTGGACAAACAACGTTATTCACAGAAGAACTGTGCTAAACCCTGTGTACATATGTAATCGTCTATCCCCTTATCCGGGCAGTTGGTTATTTTGGCTAACGCCAGACACTCGGTTTCATCAGATGGTTGGTTTGGACACCACAGATGGGCGGGAATGGAGGATCCATCGCGCCATTGATAGCTCGAGGTCCCCACCTTCTTAGTGTACAGATGAATGGCCTCTGCAAAAGAAACAAGTAAATCACCGAAAACATAAAGAAATTATTTCTGTGGCAGTATCCCTTTGTTCACCCATACTTATACCAGTACTTATATTTTGCTTTACATAATTAAAACACACGATTTTCCATCTTCGCTAGCCAAGGGTTTCTAATACTCCTCTCACATCACAATGAGGAGAGCAGCGTATCAGAAACCCTTGGTCTATGCTTCAGTCAAAAGACGATATTGTTTACGTCACGTGATCTTCAGGAGAGCAGCGTATCAGAAACCCTTGGTCTATGCTTCAGTCAAAAGACGATATTGTTTACGTCACGTGATCTTCATGAGAGCAGCGTATCAGAAACCATTGGCTAGCTGAGATGACGGTTTTCTAAAACTTTGAAAATGCAAAGAAATTGAGCATACTGTGTATTGATTATTGAAGAGCAAAAGACAAGAATCAAGTTGTAAGAAGGTATTATTTTTAAGAGTATAAATAGTGAATATTCCCAATGAGAATTATTTCCTATATCAGAATGCATAATCGATGAACTTTAAACCACGAAGAATTCAAGAGAAAATGTATAATTTATACGAAACCATACACTTGTACCGCAAAAATGGCTTTGCTCTTTGTTTTCTGCTGATATACAAAGTAATTGAAGCGCGTTGTGATGTCATCATATACTAGTAAAATGTGCATATACTAGGGTATAAAATGTGCTTAGATTTTTTCCGTCCGTCTGTTACGCTTTGGGGTACCCATTATACTCCTCTCATACCACTGAATGAAATTTGATGAAACTTTGAAAAGCGGGAGGGTATATAGTTAAAACCATATGGGAGGCGGGGGTATTTTGAGCTCATCGCTCACAGTACCTCTAGTTTTGTTTACATAGGTTAAATATCCTTTAAAATAAATGTTCGTTTGTAAATTCTAAATACAATTAGACAGTTTCTAGTGATTTGCTGAATCTCATTTTGTTATAAATACGATATTTTCTACATGTAAACAAAACATGGCACTATATAGCCTTAATTATCCTTGAAAAGTGGGAGGGTATATAGTAAATTTCCGTCCGTCTGTCTGTCCGTCCGTCCGTCTGTTACGCTTTGGGGTACCACTGAAGGAAATTTAATGAAACTTTCACAGGTTCTTAATTACATATTGCCATTGTGCACCTCCTATTATAGATAAATGATCTGACATATATTTTGATTTTCCAGAGCAAAACATGGACACTGCCATTATATTCATATGGGAGGCGGGGGGTATCATTTAGTGAGCTCATTGCTCACAGTACCTCTAGTTTAGATACCATTTTTTAGTTGTTACTTATACACATATGGTAAAACAAATTGGAATTTTTGTGTGTTTTTAAATAAAGGAGACATGCCATTTTTTTACTTCAAACATCGCTACATGATGGTTAGCAACATGTACTTTTATGCCACAGAAATGTTTTTGTCCGAGTTGGGACAAGATCAAATCTTGGAAAGTGTCCATATTGCTCAGTTCTACGGCACGTACTCTAAAAAATTCAGATCCTGCTTATACATAAGCACTCCCATATACAGTTGTCAAGCTTTGAAGATCAATTTTTGATTAATCATTGGAACAATTTTTCCAAAGAATTATTTTGGACTCAGCTTCCAGGCTTTCTGCATAATAAATCTTACTTATGCTCCAAAGTAAATATTACTTTGCAATGAGCTCACCCCCCGCCTCCACTTCCAGGTTAGATCAACTAAAATTGCACTGGCAATATGTAATAAAGATGAAAGTCTCATTAAATTTCACTCTTATGCTATACAGACGGACCAAAGTACTAATATTATAAAAAGTACCCACCAACATCGAAGGTATTCAAAAGTGCCTTGACAGTGTTGTATTTTGCTATGGTCTCAAGACTCATCAATTCTTTGGACAGTGAATGGCACCTGCTTTGAGCTTCGCTGTGATATACTAAGGTAGTATCGATGTGGATACATTTATTTAAGTCTGGGAACCACTCGTCAATCCCAGGAACACACTCTGTAGAAAGAACCCAATTATCAAATCTATAGAAGTCACATTCTTGATGGACAATTATTTGGCCTTACTATCTAATGGAAAGTCAATGAAGTTGTCACAATTTTGTCATTTGAAGGAAAACTCTCTGCTAATATAAATTGTAGTATTACTCATTTTAGCTATCTTTTCAACATTCGTCACGCAAGGTGGCTTATAATCGTTAGAGAGCGCGCTGAACGTGATCGGGAGGTCATGTCTTCGAATCTCGGCTGCGACTAGGTAACAGCTGTTCTTCCGCCAAGCCTCGGCACTCTGAAGTGAAAGTTGCGGGTCCTTCGGATGATACCTTACAAACCGAGACCCCATGCTAAGCTAGGCGTTGGTACAATAAAGATCCCTTAAACCCCTGTCACACCGGAGCTGCGTCCTCACGGCGACTGCACGGCGTCCTCAAAAAATGCAAAACGCCGAGGTGATCGCAGTAGAGTCTCCTACAGCGCCGTGACAACGCGGCGAGATCTCCACTGAACGCCGTAGGGTCGCGTAGGGTCTCCTAGGACGCCAGGGGACGGCGATCACTTTGGGCATGCACAAAGTACGCGCCGTGTGATCGCGGTCTGATAAGAACCGCAGTAGAAACGTAGTATTATCGCCGTAGCAGCGCGGTGAGATCTCCAACAACGTAGTGGGAGCTCCTACGAACGCCGTGACAAGACGCACATGATCGCGGCACGAACGCATGATAGTTGATGGCGCTTCCACGGAGACCTTACGGAGATGTCGCGGAATCCTTTTAGATGTCACTGCGTTTCTATCGCGTTTATTACGGCGCTTCTAATGAG